GTCACCCGCGAGCAGAGAGACGGAGAAAGGCCGAGGGTGACAGAAACAGTGTGATGAGTGGATACCTCGGTAGCATCACCCTACCCCCGACGTTGTTGCACGACCCGAAGTATCCTCCAGCCATGCGGGAGAAGGACTCAAGTCCTCGAAAGATGCCGGGCCACATAAGCCCGAAGCAGGCGAGTATTTATCCATTGAGCGTGCGAGTACCAGACGTCGAGGAATTACCGTACGATCTCAGTCATGGACATGGTCGTGGGCTATCAAGTCCGACCTTGAACCAGCAACAGCAACAACAACAACATCATCATCAGTATCATCAGCAACAACAACAACAACAACAACAACAACAACAGCCACATATGAGTCCTGCGGCAAGACCACCGCAGCCTCATCAACAGGATGAGCTTGATTGTGAGCCACTCGATTTACGTGTCGATCATAAAAAGGAAAGGCTCAGGGACGAGAATCAGAATGAGATAGAGGTGCTCAATCAGAACAGTTTAGGTGGTGGTCTACCTTATCATACAGTCCTATTTCCTCAACATCATGCCGTTCATCCATTGGTACTCGAAGCTATGTATAGATCGCATCATCATAATTCAACCGTGACGGATCTACCGAAGATTCAAGTTAGAGCACTACCTACTATGGTACCATTACCACCTAATAGATTTTCATCGACTACTTCTTCCACTTCCTCATCTTCTTCCTCGCAACTCAATGCCAGAATACCAAGTCCGATCGGTACTACCAATACTACTACTATTGCTACTACTAATCAACAACAGCATCAATCTGCTCAACAATTAAATAACAATCAATCTCAAGCGCAACAACAGCAGCAACAGCAACAACAACAACAACAACAGCAACAACAATCGCAATCGCAACAACAGCAACAAACTACTAGCCTACCGCCTTACTCCATTACCGTTCAAGCCGGTCTTAAACCCAAGGACAGATACTCGTGTAAATTTTGTGGCAAGGTTTTCCCACGATCGGCAAATCTCACTAGACATCTACGAACTCATACAGGGGAACAACCATACAAATGTAAATACTGCGAGAGGAGCTTCAGTATTTCGAGTAATCTTCAACGTCACGTTAGAAATATTCATAATAAAGAGAAACCGTTCAAGTGTCCCTTATGCGAGAGATGCTTCGGACAACAAACAAATTTGGATAGACATTTGAAGAAACACGATGCTGACGGTCCGACGATATTAGATGAGGTTAGATCTAGGTATCACGGACAATTACCTAGAGCCGATGATTCCTATTTCGAAGAGATACGCAGTTTTATGGGAAAGATAACGTCCCAAAGACAAGGTATACCTTATTTCCCAGGTCTATTGAGTCAAGCTCAAGACGATTTTAGAAGTGACAAACAACAGTTGCAATTGGAAGAGAAGAGAGGTGACTCATCTTATTTCAGTGATCGAGACAACCTTAGTTCAAGGTCGAGTAGCACAACTAGTAGACCTGAGAGTGTACAGGAAGAACAAAGAGACGTCAATTCTCCGCCATTATCACCTGGAAATAATACCTGAATAATACAACTTTTATATTTTCCTCCTACGTGAATCTTATCTCATTTTTAGGGAACAAACCTAAGAAAGGGATCGACGATTACAATAAACAAACAAACATTATATTATATATATATATATATATATATATATATATATATATATATATATAATTTATAAGAGATCGTAGAAATCGAAACCAAGTATATATTTTTAATTAATATCGAATTCCATTCCAATGAGAGAAAGAGACAATCGAAATGGTGTGTATGAACATTTGTGTGACTATCCAATCACGTTGTGCCTTCTTACTATTAGAAAATATAGGGGAAAAGCTTAATGTAAATTAGTATCTCGATTAGCTTAGTAGAACTCGCGCGGAGAGAATCAAGCGGAAGTAGTCGATAACGCGAAATCGATTAAGTAAAAAAAAGACAGGGAAAGAAAGAGAAAGAGAGAGAGAGAGAGAGAGAGAGAGAGAGAGAAAAAGGGAAATACAGATTAGGAAGGAGAAAATTCTTCGAGTTAGCTTTCGAAATCAACGAGAGTAAAGTAGAGTTTCCTCTTTCATCGCGGATGCTGTCGCAACCACGAGATATTATGAACGGCGCGATAAAACCTGCTCGCTTCTCCACGATCGAGCGAGTTTTAAGGAGTACGACTCGGTGCAAGGTACTTAGTTACATATTTACAAACGATTCTAAAACCCCCATTGAGCTATTTTATATATATATATATATATATATATATATATATATATATATATATATTTCGTTTTTATTATATTACATAGAAAGTTATAATAATAGACCTCGTATAAATCATTATTATTACCTGGACGAAATATATAAGTAAATATAGAATTTTATTCGTGAAATTTTTCGATATCAATATTATTATATTAAGATTGATATCAATAATCCATATACTCAATATATTCATATAACGAACGACCGGCAATACATTAA